AATATTTAACCGTAATTAGAAATAATTTATTTTTAATTTTTTTAATCTTTGACGAAATGATTTCGACCGCACAAATATCCAAAAATTGTTTCATTTTACAAATTATTCTTAAATATCGCGGAAGTCAAATGATATCACAAAATGAGACGGGAGAGAGTACTATTTTCCACTGAAAAATGTTCGATGGATATTTTCACAATTCACACATGTTAATGACACATCATATATAAAAGGAAAAATGACAGAAATCTTACCTTTAAGTTCTCCTGTTGCCATTATCCCCTTTTAATTTTACAAATCCCCAAAATCCCTCATTTTCAAGCATCAAATTAATGTATCAGCGAAACAAATAAATGTATCTCGCGCATCAGATTAGTGTGTCATGTATAAAATGTATACCAGATTAGTGTATCATATATAAAATGTAATGTATCTTACTTAACGATTAATGTATCTCGCACATCAGATTAATGTATCAACACTTATATCATTGTATTAGTTTGAAGAATTTTTGTAATTATTAACTTATAAGGGACAAATGATAATAATAACTTAAATGTATGTGATTTCTGTCTTCTGCCTTATACAAAAATGTGCAAAATAGACTTTTGAAGGGCTGATATATTTGGCCCAACTAAAGTTAGTATATGGGCCTCTACTCAGGCCCATTTAGATGGGCCTTAATAGTCGGTACAATTGGACACAAACATTGCATTGTAACTTGAGGCCCATTAACATTTTGAATTGGGCTAAATTGACGATGAAATTGCGCTCCCAATAGTTTCTAATTTTAAAAAATAGCTAGTGCTATGGAGTTTCAAGTTTTACGGGTGAAACTTTATGGAATATCTTCTCTTGACATCGACTATTTTTCAATTGCAAAGACTGAAAATGACTACTCATAAAATTTACCCACTTCAACCTGTCTTCGTAAATACGTTTATCTATTAGTGACAGTAAAATATTTAATTTATAAATCAAATCAAATTAATTTTGAAAAAAAAAAGTTTGATTTATAAGTCAAATCAAATATGAAAATATGAAATATATTAGTTTTTCAACTTCTCTAAATAATTTTTCAAACTTCTCTACACATATCTAGCAAATATGAAATATATATTAAAAAAAAGAATAATAATATTAGGTATATATATATATATATACCACTAACATATATTTTAGTAGTTGAAGTAATGGTGTAAAGTAAGATTAAGATGTTAGCGTCATGTGAATTATAGTAACCAAATTGGTGAAAGATGGTGCGGTAAGCTCTCATTGGTTGTTCATTCTGTCCACATAATATTTTTTTAGTTTTAATTTATTTGATCCAAAAAGAATGTATTTTTTGAACAACTCATTAATTATACGATATTTTTAACACCACAAGATCATCAAGATTATTTTGATGCAAATCATAAGAATAAAAATTATTCTTATTTTTCTTCAAAATCATTACCAAAATTTTCATAGAATGAATACAACATTACGAAAAATTGAATATAATATATAAATTTGATAGGCTTAACTTTTAGGTTTTATCACATGAATTTGTTAAACATTTAAAAAATTATAGGTCCATCAATTCTTATATACGTGAAGGTGTTGCTGAATTTTAGAATGTTTAAGAAAAGATATATATAATATTTAAATATTCATCCTCACTTAGAGAAATGGATCCAATCATCATTGCAATATATAATAATTTGAGTCTGGATTTTTACGCAACTATATTCAAATAATTATAATACTCCATTTGTTTTCAATTATTTATCTACTTATCCTTTTTTAGTTGTTTCTAATTATTTGTCCACTTTTTCTTTTTTAGTTGTTTCTAATTACTTATTCATTTTGACATATCAAGAAAAATAACTTTTTTACCTATTATATCCGCAATCAATTAATTTCAAAAAAGTAGAACTTGTTGAAAATATTAGGTTCTTGAATAATTTTTTTAACCTATAAACGTCAGTCATTGTTTTTTAAGTAGGTATGTTAATTTAAAAGTGGACAAGTAATTAAGAAAAGAGAAAGTACTATTCAACATGATTTTGGAGTAGGGGTGTACATTCGATTTTTCGGTTCTATTTTATACTATTCGATTTGAGTTTTTGATTTTTGATTTTGGAGAAGTATATTTCGTTTGGTTTGATTTTTCTCTTTTTGGTTTGGATTTTTTCGGTTTGGTTAGTCGGTTATGTCAATAATTAGAAACATAACAAAATTATTTGCAATTTAAAAATTATATATATATATATATTAAATTTCTTAAATATACTTTTAAATATAAATCACAAGTAAACCGTAAAACACAATACTTAAAAGTATATCAATTATAGATGTCCAAACATTATATATATAATTCATTTTTTTTTCTAAATCCAAACCAAACAAAATAAATTATAAATCAAAACCAAACAAAGAATCCAAAAACCCAATTCAAATTAAAATTCCATTTAATTTAATTTGATTTTTTGGTTTAATCTAAATAGTGCATATTCCTAATTTTGAGAAAAGAATATGAATTCACGTGAACTTTAAAAACCCCTCCTACCTACGTCCTTGCTAAATCAAATAGACTAAATAAATTAAAACGAAAAGCGTAATATCAATTGATGTGAAGTTTTTACATTGCAACTAACCGGGAAACGCCGCAGACGGCAGGCGGCAACGCGCTGAAATTATATATTTATTTTACACGGCATTCAAAATTCAACCCTCCTATCTCTTACTTATGAATTAAAATTTCTAAAATTTAGTTTTTAGTACTATGATTTTTATTTATTTCTTTCATTTAATCAAGCCCCTTTCTAAACCTTATTATACTTTTTCTTACTTTTTTTTTGGGCGTATGTTATAGAGGAAGGAAGTTTTATGAATAAGTGGATTTTTTATTTACTTTTTTATATTAGTTGTATACAAGGAATTTTTTTTAAGGAATAATTCTTTTTTTATATATAATTTAGATAAATTTAACGTAGTGAGAGATGGGGAATTTTCATTAATAGTCATTATAATAAATTTAATCATGCTTCATAGCTATAGTTTGTTGTACTTATAGTTTAAGCTGTCTTGTTCGTATAGTTCACGAATTTGTATAATTAGCCTATTTTTGTATAATTTATGGATGTGTTTGTATATTGAGTTATTTTTGTATAAATTCGAAATGACAAATTTATAAAAATATCTGAACGTAAAACAATTATACAAATTATATTATATAGAAGTTGTACAAATTATATTTTTGCAAATTTAGAATTATACAAACACGAAATTTCAGCCTATATTATTATCATTGAATATTAATCGCAAGTAGTAATTAGCTAAAATTATAACTATGATATTTTAATTAAATGAGATAAAAATTTGTTAAAAGTTGGGAGAACATAATACGAAGGATATAAATGCGCTAATTTTGAAGAAAGAGTTATATTATTATTTACATTATTTGGATATAAGAGTTATATTGTATGTTAATAAAAATATAAATTAATAGTGGAATTGGTAAAGATAACTTACTGGTGAAAATTTGAAAATGACATTATTGATAGTTCCAGCTGTAGACTTTAAAAAAGATCCTTGATAATATAAAATATTACTCCAAAGGATATTTTTGGAAGTTTTACTATTGGAGTAAACAGTTCAGTCTTAATTACATCATTACATCTAAAAGTACCAAAAACAATTTTATAATTAGCTAATCTTATTCATGAGGGATTTGCCCTTCCAATTTTGTTTTATATTTTGTAATTGTGGTATTCTAATTAAGTTGTGTGTATGTATAGTAAAGTTAGAATATACGGAAAAAATTATTTAGTGTATTCTCTCTATTGTAATTTGATTATAGAAGTGGTTAATTAAATTTATGAACACTAATCCTTACCCTAAGATGCTGATTAATTGTCGAAATTCTTATTTCAACAAAATATGTTTAATTTTTTCTTTTAATAGTTTGTTCGTCTTAAAATATTTATGTGTTTTTTGTTTATATGTACTTTTAAGAAGTGGGCTTTGTTTGTCAATTTACCTATATTTTAAAATAGAGTTCTCCTTCTTTTGAATAATATTGGAATCCTGAAGTATTAGTAAAGTTATCCCAATGACCGATATGTCATAAGTTTGAATTGTGAAAGCAAATATTGATGCTTGCATAATTCTAGACTCGAGTTTCATTCTCTTAATACGAAATTAATTTTATAATAAGTCGTTAAAATTAAATAGTTACGGTTACTTACTAATAAAAATGTACTCTCTCGACTCTAGAACCCAAAAGATAGTCTTGATATGATTTCAAACTAATATATGTTTGGTATGGATTTGAAAAAATAATCCTTTATCTTCCAAATATTAACTATTTAAGACAAATCTTTTTAGTATGAAGGGAGTAAGATTTGATTTTTCATTTTTTAAAAACATAAGAAAAAGACTAAGTAAACACTTTAAGGATCATTTAATATGAAAAATGAGACAGATAAAGTTCTCATAAATTAAAATGTCCCAATATAAGACTAGCTATATGAGTAAAAATTAACTTATAATCTCAAAGTACTACAAATAAAGACCGAACTCATAAACAAATTCTTAAATTTGTTGGATTTTTCCTTTCAGATAATTCAACTACGTCATTTTCCTATTGAATCATTGAACCATCTATAATTTGTTTCTTTTAAAATTGTTGGCTGATTTTTATCGACTTTTCTATTATAAATGTCTTTAATAGTGTTCGTATTGTAATGATTTTGATTGAAGGAATGAAGACAAATAGTGTGTCAGTCTCATTTCTTTTCTAATTTGTTCAAATGACTTGAAGTAAAACATAATTATTCTCGAACAGTTTCACTATCAGTTGGACTAATGAGTTCTGGAACAACATATGCATCCTCTATCAATACTCCTCAAAAATTTGGTTCTACATCAGCCAACAGCATTTAAAAGGAACAAATTATAGATGATTTAATGATTCAATAGAAAAATAGCATACTTGAGGTATCTGAGGGGAAAAACCCAACAAGTTTAGAGATCTGTTTTTTATTTTATTTTAAAATTATTATTCATTATCTGTCATACCGATTAGACGGAATAGTAACAAATAAAGTAATATGTGCAAACACTTGTAAAATAATCAAGTAAGACACCTAATTTTGAATACATGAATGCAATGATTCTAACATCATATTGCCAACGTAACGTCGTATCAACGTCTCACATTATATTCTATCACATTCTTCCACTATAAAAAAAAATTACTGTTACATCTAAAATCTTGTAAATATTTCACTATTCTAATTAACACTTTTCTATATATGCGCGGTTTTTATATTTCCTTTCAACCCATTTTATCTATCCAGCAAAATATTTCTGGCTTTCACCCAAAAAAAATTTCTTAGCAGTTCATTCCCAACTGGTTACCACTTCTATCCAATTTCATTAATTTTGGCTGCTCAAGGCCTTATTCTTCCTCTTCCATAAATGGCTTCCCTAATCCAATCGAATCTTACACTCATTTCGAAATATTATAATTATTCATTCATACAATATATTATAATTCCGAAATGTCTGGAGCAAATAACGGATCAGGATCAGGATCAGGATCAGAATCAGGACGGCACCCGGTATATAAAGGGATAAGAAGAAGGAAAAGTAGCGGAAAATGGGTGTCAGAAATTCGGGAGCCGCGTTCCCCTAATCGGATTTGGCTCGGCACATTCCCGACCCCGGAAATGGCTGCCATCGCTTATGACGTGGCAGCACTTGCACTTAAGGGTCGGGATACCGAGCTGAATTTTCCAAACTCCGCCCCCTCTTTACCTGTCCCCGCTACCAACTCGCCCCGGGATATCCAGACTGCTGCGGCCTGTGCGGCCGCAGCAATTGGAGCAGCCGGGGACGCGTTAATAGGAGGGCGGAGTAACAATAGTAATAGTAATAGTAATAGTAGAACCGTTTCGAGAGACGTGGAGGATAATTATTTGATACCTAATAATAATGAGTACAATTTTATGGATGAAGATTTGATATTTGATATGCCAAATGTTATTATGAATATGGCTGAAGGGATGCTACTTAGTCCACCACGTCTCAACCACCTTCCTCCAGATGATGATTATATTGGTGGTGCTGATCAAAATCTATGGAATTATCCATAGTTTCATCCTACAACAAATAAAATCTTACTTTCAAGTTTTTTTCAATTAATATATATACTAATATATGTCTATCCTACTCTCGTTATTCTGACCTATAGGTCACAGGTTTCGAGATTATTAAAGAAGATATTAATGTTACACTAATACTTGCATCATGTTAGGATGTCTACATTACGTTCCTCGGAGTTCAGCCCTCTTCTGGATCCTTCTAATACGGGGATGGGATGCTATGTGTGCCGGACTATAATGAGTAAAAATAAAATAAGATGGAAATTAGTGACTAAATATTAACATTAGCTTGGAAGGCTACTGCAGATGAAAGGATATGGGGATGGATTTGTGTTTTGCATGTTCTTGAATTCTAGTTTCTGTTAGTAAATAATGGGTTTTTACTGTTGTAAATTAAGCTTTGTCACACTTGTTATATATATATATATATATATATGCGCGTATTTTTGTTTTCAGTCTGTCTAAAAAAGAATATTACATTTCTTTATTAACAAATAATATCTATAAACTTCTAACCTTATCCTTGATAAAATGTTGAGTTATAGCCATATATTGTTTATGGTTTGTTTTTTGATATTATAGGTTTAAAAAAAAGGTGTTCAGTCAAATTGATATATAAATTGAAACACATAAAATAAATAGTTTTTAAGAAAGTGTATATAGTCTTATTTTGATTTCATAAGTTACTTTAAAGTTTAAATTTATTATTACTAGAACGCTTTAAAATAAAAGACGGTTATTAAAGTCTTATTGAAAGCTATAGTACATGATATATATATTTTTTCTTTTTAAAAATGGTTTGATACATGAACTAATAAGGTATCAAATCAAAAGAATTAATTAGCAGCAAAGCAAAGATTCTCGATGTTAGGTAGATCAAGAAATGATAAAAATTGGAAGAAATTTAGTCAATTAGAATCATTAAAACGTTGACCTAAGAAGTGTTTTGTCAAACAAACCATCTTATCTATTCCACTATATATTATCTTTTTTTATATATTTAAGAAAAAATACACTGGTACTCCCTCAATCTATGCATAAAATTTCATTGATACATTTATACTATATTAAAGTCCTATTACGTACCTTCCTTAACTTATTTTATAAGTAATTTTCTATTCCTTTTCGACCTACACGGCACAAGTTATAAAAAAAATCAACCATCATTAGGCCCACAAGATAGTATCACGTACGCCGAAAAGAGGTAGAAAATTATTAATAAAATAAGTTCAAGGGTAATAAGACCTTAGTATAATATAAATGTGTCTCTAAAATTCGGACATAAATTAAGAGTTCGTGTGCATTATCCCTTTATTTAATTATACTCTAAGAATATTCTAAAAGGTATTGTATTAGAAAAAAGTGATATAAGGGGCTACAAAAGAGTTGAAAGATGCCTTTTAACATTCCAGGAAGTTGGTTGAATATAACATGTTTATACCGTCAAATGATATGATGCAACAAATATGATTTTTCTAATGAGAGGTTTTAAATCATTAGATTCGAGTTTTGGATATAAAATTCTTGATAGGAATACTTTTCCTAAATGGGGTTCGACCTAATGAGAATTTGAATTAGTTGGGTTCCTACGTAGGTACGGAATAAAAAAGAAATAACTTTAATTAATAGAGTTTAACTTTTACACGTTACGCGTTGTAAGGAACTTATATACTTGTATGTGTTTTCAACAAATTAAAAAAAGGAAATTTATATGAATTTCATTGAGTTAAGAGCTAGTTACATTGTTATTATAATTAAAAAAAATTATAATAAAGTCTTTAAAATTATAGATTTCGGATACATTATTGGACTTTCGGATACATTAGCAAACATACGTATACATAGGTAAGGGATGAGAGATGAGAGATGTATTAGGGAGGGGATATGACATCCGGATATATCAGTGGACTTTCGGATACATAGTCAAGGGATGTATTAGAGAGGCGAGGGATGTATTAGAGAGGGGATATATAGGACATCCAGATATATCACTGGACTTCTGGACACATGAGCAGACATCTAAATACATAGGTGAAGGATGTATTAGAGAGGAAAGAGATGTATCCGGAAGGGGGATAGAATGTATCAGAGAGAATAATAGGACATCCGGATACATTACTGGACTTCCAAATACATGAGCAGACATCTAAATACATGAGTGAAGAATCTATTAGAAAAGGGAGAGATATATCCAAGAGGGAAATAAAAATTAAAATAAGATCTATATTTAAGTAATTTTTCCCTTAAAATATGTTAGGGTCGAATAAATTTTTGAAATATTGAATTTGTACTGATCAACTTAAAAAAGAAACTTAAATTCATTATGACACGTTATTATGTAATCGATGCATTATTATATAACTGAATATGAAGATATACAAAATCGAATTTGTTGGCTTACTCTTTGTTCACACATCATGCATATAAAGAATATGGTAAATATTAATCTTTTGAAATCATATTTCATAATTATCTAGCTAATTCTTTTCCTTATGGTAATTTAGTTCCTTGCTTTTACATGTTCTAGTGAAATTTATGGTCTTTATTTTCATAGGTACAAAAATATTGATATATTTAATGTTAAGTTAATCTCCATAGTTGGTCTTTAATTCATGAGTCATTAATTGTTTGTTATTATTTAATCAACTATCGTACAAAAATCTTGATAAATGACAATTTTTCTTAAAGATATTGTTACGCTGAGATCTCTATAATTATATTAATTATATAACTATATCAATTATATAATTAAGAACCCAATATTGGCAAAAATATGTATAACATCGTTAACTAAATTACTGAAAATAATTTGAAAAATATATGAGATTGGCATTTGACGTGTCCAATTATTTTTACTGTGTCAAATAGGGTAAACTTTACGGTGCAAAATTATGTTGTTTCCCACCTGGGTGTGTGCGCCTTTTATTGCTGACGTGGATAAATTTATTACTCCACGTGACTTTTTTTTTTAAAGGATCAAACAGTTTAAAATATTTTTTTCGATGAAGATCTATCGAAAACAACCTATCTCATACGGCAAACACACTTTTACTAGTTGTTTTAATAGTAGTATCCAAATTATTTCAATAGTGTACTTAAAATATTTCAACAGTAATATCTAGGAGTGTCAAAAATGAATTCAAGTATAGCTAATTCGCTCAGAATTTTAAGGGTTGAGCTCAAGATAATTTGAATTAGGTTCAATCTCAAGCAAATCAAGCTTAACCAATTTAAGAGTATTCTCAATGGAGCTCAATTCAATCTCTAATCTCAACCCGTTTCAAAACTTTTTATTAAGATATGTTTCGATATTGAAGGTATGAATTATTATCTATTTAACATTTTTTAGGATTTATCTAAAAAAATTCTTGAGCGAAAATTCAAATTGTGATTATAAAAGTCAAATATCAATATGTTAAATTATTGAGATTAATCTAGTCAAACTGGGCGGGTCAAGATTCAACCCGTTTCTTAACCCATTTGAGCCCAAAGGAAACTTGGACGGGTCAAGACCCAACCTAATTTCTATTCAACCCATTGTAATTTTCCCATTTCAACCCAAATCCCCCATTTGACATCCCTAGTAATACCCGATGATACCTAATCCTTAAATAATTGCTTCAATATTACAAATTACTAGTATATAATAATTCCTAGGGAGACCAACAAAGGTTGTGGTGGAGTACTCCTTCATCCTTAACCAATAGGTTTCAGGTTCTAGCCTCTTTGGATATGGACTCGCTTTATTAAAAAATATTTTATTTCATGTGAGATTTTTCGATGCGAATCTGAATTTAGTTAGGTGAAAAAGAAATCTCTTAAGGACAGGCATTGTTTTACCTTTTTTTGTGAAAAAAAAATTATTATGGCCCATTAAAGTTTATGATAATGCCTTTCTTGGTAAAAGTTATAATTATGACCAAAGTATATTGTTAACTCAATAGTAGAGTTGTTAATTTACCATAAAAATTTTAACTCCTCAAAATGGAAAGGACTAAAATATACAAGTTAAAAGAGAACACATATGTGAGTTGATAATACAGGGAGTTATATTATTTTAATTTAATTAGTGTAGTGTAAATTCCCAACAAGGTGCATTATTGTAGTAGTAAAAAGGAAGAGGGATATATTAATTAATTAATTAATATTAAAGGCAGTCAAGGTATGTGATAATTAGAGATTAAGCAAGAGTATTAAGCTCCACATAAGTATAATAATCACCTTCATTGACTGTCTCTTATCAAAATTAAAATGGGTGTTATATGTAAATGGATCTACTGTTCATCCACAATTATGAAAACAAGATTTACCACTAATAAAACAATTGTCCCCACAAAGGGTAAATGGAAAAGACTCCAACAATATTAGAAACTTATAGATAGCGAAAGAAATAACTGTTGTCTCTTTATTTTTGATCAGAGATTTTGAGTCTGAGTCTTGGATATGAAGAAATTATATTGGAAGTATGACACTCAGAATAAGTTTTATAATGCGTGATTAAAATTTAATTGAAGCTCTAATATAAATACTGAATCCGAATAGAACCCCATTAAAGAGTTGTGAGACGATAGCTATAACTTTTCATCCCTCATTAAAATTTTTAAAGTCGGGTTATAAAGATAATTAAAAAATTTACTAGTAAGAGAAGCATTTTTCTTTTCATTAATCTTTCATTGCGTAAATAAAAATTAATTAAAGTTTCAAAACGAACGATGAACATTGAATAATAACAATAGCTAGGGCTTAGAAATGTCAAATGAGTGAGCTGAGCTAAATTTGAAAATGTTAAACTTGAATAAGTTAATAATAAATGGATTAGCTATTGATCTGGTTAAATGTTATTGGAACTAAATCGGATTAAGTTGTAATGATAACGAGGCATAACCCTACCTATATCTAGTTCTTATAATTTATTTGAGTATCTAATAAAAATTTCCCCTTATATTATTATGACTACAAAATCATATCAAATAAGAAAATATCCTCTAAAAAAAATTCGATAAAATTTCTCATAAACCAATATAAACCACATATTAATTCAGATTCGAAATGAACTGAACTTATCATGTTAAAATAAGCTCATTCAATAAAATAAGTAGATAATTAACCAGTTCAAACGTAACTAATTAAACGAGTTAACAATTTTATGGACTGATTTTAAAACCACCACAACAACAAACAATATATATAGGAGATAATTAAGGAAAAAAGTGTTACAAGATATAATTACATATCAGAGTTTTAAGGTTCATTTTACTTGGTGAAAATGTACAAAATTTGTGTAAAAAAGACATTTTTTTTCTTCTTTATAAAAACATGCATATGTCTAATAATACAATTAATGTATTTTGACTGTATTCAACAGTTGCAGATCTAAGATTAATTAACGAATA